TATTTCGCTTGGGCCAATATCAGAATTGCAGTAATTGTCACATTTAATTAGATTTAGCAGAGGAGTAATACGTATCTTATCATGTGTGTTGATTTATCATGGACGTGTCCTGATAAGTAGGTACTCTAGTATTACATCATCAACCTTCTTCAGGGCTTTTCCTGTTTGGGTTGGGCACAGATTGTTTTTGATAGCATCCTGACCTAGGTTTGGTTCTGAGATTGAATAAGGTATCCACAGTCTAGGGGTTTAGCATCTTATTGTTATGAGAGTTTGTATTTTTTTTTGTGGATGATAACGGAATGGTGGACTCGCCTGCGCCAACGGTTTACGCTGGCGGGGCACCAGTGGAGGATGATAAGACGAACATGAAGTCAGGTCAATTAGCCCATCGTGACAAATTCACCATCGTGATAAATTTATCACGATGGTTTCCAGAAGGACCTTCGTGGAAGTGACCCTGACATGGTACATTGCTAGTAATGGGGTCATTAGTTCACATTACTAACAATTCCCTTCCCACCGAGAGTTTGTATTCGTCTGGGTGTTTTCTATGTACATTAAGTTTAATAAAGCATTTAAATATTTCTGTCAGTTGTTTAGAACCCATAGTACAATCTTTGCTTAGTGAGGAACTAGTTTGCTTTGTGTGAATTGTTTTGGTTTTAATATGTTGTCTCTGTGGTCTAGCGGTTAAAAGCACACCTCTTTAATGGCTGTGTTCACGGGTTGGATTCCTTTGCGGTGCAAACATTTATATTCTAAATTATGATTATTTGTATAGCTCGGAGTATTTTCTATGTATAGTATATCTATGTATTATATTTCTGTTAGTTGTACAGTACCTATAACATAACCTTGCTTAAGCTTAACTTGGGACTAGACGGCCAGTGTGAATTCTCCTAGGTTATTATTATTATTAACTCTGCCCCCACTCCTCTCCTTAGTTATTTTAGTTATTGATCAGAGATCAAACAGTTGTTAATTTGTTAGTTGATGACGTATGATGAATTCCACCACCTTTTCCGGAAATAGCTTTAGCTATTGTTAAGACGTTTAAACAGTTGTGAATCATATGTTTTATTGGATTAGGTGTTATTTTGCGGAAGTCCATGTCATTATTTAATTGATTTATATTATTTATATTTAGCACGCGTGAGATCACAAAAGTTCATCTAAACATGACTGCTGCAGGCAATTACTAGAGCTCGGATATACCTTAGAAGCGTTGACTCTTCGGCGACTATAAATATAATAAATTAAATCTTATTCTATTTATATTTTATACTAGCTGTTCCCGCGACTTCGTTCGCGTGGAATTTAATTTTATTTTTCTAAAATAAAAGTAGCCTAAGTTACTCCTTATTACATCAGCTACCTGCCAAAAAAAGTCCTGTCAAAATCGGTCCAGCCATTTCAGAGATTAGCCGGAACAAACAGACCGACTGTGGGTGTGTAATGCGTAGGAATGAAGATAATATTTTAAGGAAGGTGGTACATATAAATGTGGATGGCTATAAGGGCAGAGGAAGGCAGAAAAAGAGATGGATGGAAAAACTTCCACTTGGCAAGTCTCAATTCTTAGGAAATTCCTTTTCATTTCGCGCTGCTCGGTTATGGAATAAACTACCAGTACAGATACAGGAAAGTCCATCAATTGGTTGTTTTAAGAAAAGGTTGAAATCACACTATTTATCGACCTTAGTATGATTAGTTTCATCATGTATTTTATTATTTGTATTTTGTGTAATATATGTAGATATCTATAGTAATTGTATATGTATGTATATATATATATATAGCTTTTATTAATGTTTATTTTATTTATTATTGTATATTTTATTATAATATAATTAGAACTTAATTTAATTTGTTGAATTTTAAATGTTTTATTTTTCTCAACTTTTGGACATTTCAACATAATAGTGTTAATTGCAAAGGTGTTACCTACTCACTACTAGCTATGCCACATTGTTGGGTTGACTGGTAGAGATCTCTCTTAGAGATAAGTCCACCTTTGCTCACTTTGTATATGTTTAAGTTTACAACTGTATTTAAAAGTGCAATACAGAATATATATATAACGGTCCCAAATTGACCACTAATAGGGATGATCTTGCCTCTTACCACTATAACTATTTTACTCTTATTTAGTTACTCTACCGGTTCTGTATTAAATATTTTGACTTCAATAAATTATTGCTAGTTGGTGTTTCTATTCATACGACGACTCGACTTAAAAATGCAGTTACAACAAAATTATTTAAAAGACCAACACGCAAGTTTCATGCTCGTTCTTCTTGTGATGAGACAGTATTCCGAATGAGCGATAGATTGAATGAAATAAGTTATGACTATTCAAAAGTGATTAATAAGTTTATTTGAATAAATGATTTTCTATTTCTGATATCGGCGATCAGGTTTCCGCACTGATTGGTGATCTTTTGTTTCAATGGCAACTAAATGTATTTTCCCCAGAATGTTGCGACGATTTTTGCGCATTCTGTCGCATTTTTTAGATCTAGTTGGGTACAAAGGACAGGTCAATAGAGGGGCCATAGTCTGGGATGGTGCTCCGCAGTCACAAGCCTCTCTTGATGCGACACTCCATTTTACCAAGCTGTATCTGCAGCGGCCCATCTGGGTTCTCACACATGCTAATTGTAGCGGAATTAAACGAAATAATATAAATACATAAAACAGTTGTGTATCGGTTCGTTGATGACTTTTGATACTTGAATGTATAAATAATGAGATGGTATTGTTACACTTGTATAATTAATGTGTATTTAAATGTTTACTCGTTTCTTACGAATATAAGAGTTTTTTTTTTTAGGGTTGATAAGGGAATGGTGGACCCGCCTGCGCTAACGGTTTACGCTGGCGGGGCACCAGTGGAGGGTGATAAGATGAGCATGGGGTCAGGTCAGTTAGCTCATCGTGCAAATTCACCAGGAATTTAACACGATGGTTTCCAGGGGGAACCGCGTGGGGGTCAACCTGACATGGTACATTGCTAGCAATGGGGTTATCAATCCACATTACAATTACAATTACAATTACAATCCCCTTCACCCCCGAATATAAGTATATAGTATGTGATATTTTTTAATGTATATATATATATATATATAGTAGGTACACATACATAAAAAACGTTGGGAAATTATACACCAGTGTGTAGATGGATAGTTATTTGTATTCAGTAGCTTGAAAGCTAGCTGGTTCTATGGCCAGGTATTCTGTGTTTTTTTTTTTTATATATTACAGGCTTTCTGTATCTGTTCTTTGACAATTAGCATTTCTAGATATGTTCTTTTGTATTCTATACATATCAATAAAATTTGAGTGTCTGTTTGTAATATTAAAATAACCGTTTTTTACTACATGCATATGAATATAAATACGGTACGGTACATACACCAAAATAACAAATAAATTTTTTACAATTTTTGTCTGTCTGTCTGTCGGTCTGTTTGTTCCGGCTAATCTCTGAAATGGCCGAACCGATTTTGACGGGACTTTTATTGGCAGGTAGCTGATGTAATAAGGAGTAACTTAGGCTACTTTTATTATAGAAAAATAAAGTTAAATTCCACGCTAGCTAAAAAGCTGGTATAAAATAAAGTCGCTATCATTGTCCGTCCGTCCCTATGTATGCTTAAATTTTTAAAACTACGCAACGGATTTTGAAGCTGTTTTTTTCAGTAGATAGAGTGATTATACAGGAAGATTTTTACATATAATACATGTACACCCGAGCGAAGCCCAAAAATATGAAATGTAATGAAAGTAACAAAATTTATAAATCACTACATTTTAATAATTAAAATGGAGTTATTTATAAATTTTGTTACTTCCATTTAAGGGGTATTACATTGTCTATTAAATACAATTTATTTCATTAAGCTAGTTCTACTAATAGTTACAATCTATTTCATTCTTAGTTCCCGAGATTTATAGGTTTTTCAAAGTGAGCCGGATTCATTGCTCTCGCGTGTATTAGTTTGCGGACACTAATACTAGCTGTCCATTACTGTTAAGTAAGTTAAGTTTATGTACCAAGTAATTCTGGTTAGTTTAATATTGATGTTTATAATTGTCTCTATTTATATTCAATACGAGATGACCCTATGAACTTCATATCGCCTACATTGTAAGTTATCTGATATTTGCACTACGCGCAGTGCAAATAATTTTAACAGAGATACAAACACACTGAGTAATTTTATATTATTAAATAATTAGGACTAAAATAACACTTGTTTTCTTCATTACTAACTACTCGCACCGGCTTCGCACAGGTGTACTTGTATTATATATATAAACCTTACTCTTGAAGCACTCTATCTACTAAAAAAAACCGCTACAAAATCCGTTGCGTAGTTTTAAAGATTTAAGCATACATAGGGACAGACAGACAGCGACCGCGACTTTGTTTTATACTGTGTTATAAAATAGCGATATAATAACTATGTAATAATGATTTGTATTTTATTAAAAATGCAATTCCTCGATCCGTCTCTACATAAAACGTGCTACTGATGCTTTGAAGGTCGGCAAAGGGCCCCTTTAACCCACACCAGGGTCACAAGTCCCGGGAACTGCTCGGAGTTTCCCTCTCTGTCATACGATAGAACCGGCACCTGTACTGTTACTACAGTTACAGTTAATGCTATTTTATTTTATTGCCAAGGAATGCTATTTTTTTTTTATTGAGTTGTATGGGCTATTGTCAGATGTGTAGCACCTGTAGCACTGCGACCTACATAGATCTATTGTGCTCGCCCTTTTCAGAGTTCGCTACCTAGACCCGTCAGGGACAAGAATTGAAGGATATTCTTAGGAGCGATCGTTTTTATCTCCTCGGGAAAGAGTGTAAACTTTCCAAAGGAGATATTACGTTTATACATGAGTGGGCTACAACCACATTGGTTGTGTACTGGCGTTTCCTCTTCTGAGTTTCTTGTCTCATACTCATGTGTATGTTTTGTCCACAGATGCGCCTACACCGGTGTGAGGGGTGCCTTGCGGCGTGCGGGCGGGAGGGCCGCGCGGCGCCGCTTCCTGTTCTTACTAGGTATGTTTTTTTAACAATTGTCGACTCCATAGTTGTCACAATACTCTTATATATGGTTATATCTTATTACAGCAAGAAAAACTAACTTATATTTCCTATAAGTTAGTTTTTCTTGCTGTTATAAGTGTGTTTTTAAATTTTTTTCAATATATATTAAGAAGGAATAAACTCTTTTGCTGTCTTGTTTCAATGTAGTATTGGTTTGGTAATTAGTCCGCAGATTCTGAGCAGTTTTAACTCAATTTTTAATTCTTCTTACATACCCAACTCTCCCAACTATACATTAGAGTTCTTACTTTTGGAGTTAAAAAAATCTTACACCACTTAGTAAAAAAAAGCGAGCGTCGCGTCGTACTAGGAATACAGAGGTTTATGAGCGAATATGTTTGACTTTGAGGGCCTCCGAATATAAGAATAGAAATAGAAATAATCTTTATTCAAATAAACTCAATACAAGCACTTTTGGATAGTCATATTTCTTTATTCTACCACTCAATTGGACTGCAGAGTCATCACAAGAAGAATGAGCAAGAAACTTATGTGAAGACTATAGATGTCTCTTTTTATCTGCAGGAACAAGTTACTGAAACGAGCGAGACGTACACCTTACTCATCTCCGATGAGCAAGCAGACCTCCAACATGGTGGAGCCGGCGCCCCCGACGCCACCAGACAACGATGCCCCACGTATGTACTGAATACATAAACATAGACAATAAAAAAAAAAGGATTTTTTTTTTATATATTTATTAAACTTTAATGTACAGATACATTAATAAAGGTGCACATGACAGACTTAACACCTAGAGGCATTTTCTCCCAGTTAACCATAGGGCAAACAGAGATTCACGTGGGCGGTACATTATGATTAACATAATATATATATATATATATATATATATAAATACATACCAATACATATACATACGATATATATACAAATCAACAATGAAAGTCAGATTCAGGATTATCTTCAACAGAAACGATTTCATCATCATAGTGTTACATAATTAACCCTCTGCTTAGATCTATTGTACTCGCCGTTTTTTAAAGTTCGCTACCAAGACCCGTCAAGGACAAGAATTGAAGAATATTCTTAGGAGCGATGGTTTTTAGGATGAGAAGCATAGTATCTTAGCTCTCTGGAATGGCGACGCATGAGTATCACAAGTGTCACATAATAAGGTGATGTCGTGGGCTATTGATGACCTTGGTTATCTAGTGGTCTAGCACACCGCTTTACGACCGATGGTCGCGGATTCGATTCCTCGCACGGCACAAACATTTGTATTCATGAGTATGATAGTTTGCATAAGTCTGTGTGTTTTCTATGTATAATATGTGTGTATTTACAAAAAAAATGTATGTGTATGAATCAGTTATCTAGTACCCATAACACAAGCTTTAGCTAGCTTAACTTGGGTCTAGATGGCGCTGTGTGAATTGTCTTGAGATTATTATTATTATTATTACAATTCTAGTCATACCCCAGTGGAGGATGATAGGATAATATTGAAATCAGGCTCCTGTTAATTCACTATGAAACTAAGCCTGATTATTTTCAAGTGGTGTCAACCTGACATGGTACATTGCTAGCAATGGGGTCGAGAGTCCACATTACTAACAATCCCAACGAGTCAATTAGCCACCTACACTTTATAGACTTAACCATGATTTCAATGTTTTTAATTTATGTTTTTTTTTCTTTATTCTTGTTAACAGTGATATAAAAAATCTATTTATTTTTTATAGCAATGCCATGGTTCGGAATGGACATCGGCGGTACTCTGACCAAGCTGGTGTACTTCGAACCTCGGGAGAACAATAGAAGGGAACTGGACAAGGAGACGGAGGTGCTGAAGAATATCAGGCGATACCTGACGAGGAATTCTGCGTATGGCAAGACTGGGCGGCGTGATGTACATTTGCAGGTTGGTACTAATTTCTTGTGTCCGTTTATAAATCAAAACAAGATTTTATTCTTGTAGGACATTTTTGCCACTCTTTAAATGGCCTAGGTGATGTAGCGATTTAGTACAATGCTTTGTTTCCAATGGTCGCGAGTTCGATCCTCGCACAGTACGAATATTTGTTATATACTATGCTTGTTTCTATTGGTCTGGGGGTTTTCTATGTATATTATGTACAAGCAATGCCCGCGGTTTCACCTTTAAGCGCGTTAAATTTCAATATAAAATATAGCCTATGTGTTATTCTGATGCATACGCTATATTACTGTAAAGTTTACTTATTATTGGTTATCAAATCGATGTTGTTACAAACAGATGGTCAACGTCACCAACCAGAATTTATTTAGAAATTTTTGAAATTATTTTTTTCTTTTTTCTTAATTTGTTTTTATTTGTTATTAACAGATGGACAACGTCACAATCCAGAATTTTCTTTGAATATTTTTTATTGTATTTTTTTTTAATTAATTTTTTAATAGTTGTTTTTTTTTATTAACAGATGGACAACGTCACAATCCAGAATGTTCTTTTAATATTTTATTTTATTATTTTTTTAATTGTTATTTTTTCTTATTAACAGATGGACAACGTCACAATCCGTGGTCGCCGCGGTACGCTCCACTTCATCCGGTTCCCCACGTCGGAGGTGGGCGCGTTCCTGCAGCTGGCCCGCTCTAAGGGCATGGCCGATCTAGTGAAGACCATATACGCTACCGGCGGAGGTGCTTACAAGTTCGAAGAGGACTTCATAAAGGTAAGTTTTTTTATGGATGATAATGGAATGGTACACCCGCCTGCGCAAACAGTTTATGCTGGGGGCAGTTAGCCCATTGTGACAAAATTATGGGCAACTGGGCCCCGAACCCTTATGTGGCGTACCTCATTGCCTAAAATTGGGACATTTCAAATATATATATAATAAATAACCAAACAAGAAATTTCAAATCTCAAATTTTCCCCGTTTATGCATAATTTTTCACTGATGCTTCGTTTAAAAAAAAAAACTTAAAAACAATCAAAATTGACAGTGTATAATTAAAAATTAATAAAAAATGTAACACGAATAATTTATTGTAAACTAGCTGACCCGTGCAACTTCGTCTGCGTTTCATTTCCTCACCTATTGCAATATTTTTCATTGCAGCTCCGCTCCTATTGGTCGTAGCGTAATGTTATATATAGTAGCTTAAAGCCTTCCTCGACAAATGGACTATCCAACACAAAGATATTTTTTCAATTCGAACTAGTTGTTGCTGAGATTAAAGCCAGGTTCAGCTATAGTGTATATAATGTTATCAAGTACCCCAACATTTACCCCCGCCTCTTCTCAATAATATGTATGATCTGTCTCTTTTCAGGAGGTGAACATGAGGCTCTCCAAGATGGACGAATTGGACGCTCTGATCGCCGGCGTACTGTTCTCAGACAGTATGAACTCGCACGAGTGCTACTACTGGGCGCCGCCGGATGAACTGCCGGTGCACCACTCTGCGGCAGATTCGGTAATTACAAATCAGTAGTTATTATCTGTTTTTTTTTTATGGATTATTTAAAAGAGCAACACACAAGTTTCTTGCTCGTTCTTCTTGTGATGAGAGCTTTCCGAACGAGTGGTAGATAAAAAACAAATTGTTATGACTATTCAAAAGTGCTTAAATTAAGTTTATTTGAATAAATGATTTTCTATTCTATTCTATTCTATTCTATGGATGATATTAAATAAAAAATCATTCATGTAAGACATTTTAGCCGCTTATGAGCGTCAAAGTTTTTTGTATTAATATTTTTTCCCTACCGTCTCAATTGAATCTGTATATTGAACTGGACTAGGCAGAAACTGACAAGAAACTCACATTTTTTTTAAGGCATTACATAATGTAAATAACATTGAGATAAAATGAAGTGAAAATCCCGTGCATGAACAACTATTGCCATGCACGCTCGTCATTCAAGTAATCGTTTAGTGAGTAATATATAATAGTTTTACTCAATAAATATAATTTAACAGATTAATTTATTTAAGATATACCTATCTATAATCTTTCTTTCTTTCTTCTTTCTATCTTACAAATATTATAAACGCGAAAGCATGAGATGCGATGAGATGAAACTACTGAATGTATTTTGATGAAACTTTACAGTAATATAGCTTATACAAAAGAACAACATAGGCTATAAATTTCACGCGAGTAAAACCGAGGGCACAGCTAGTTATTAAGATTTTTTATATCCGCTGGATGCGACATCAAGTGGAATAGGATAGCTTACATCTCAATTTATAGTCGCAATATTATTTTATTCAACCTATATAATATATTTTTGTCCCCAGCCACCGTACTCTGAGGCAGCCCTCAGTATGTACGTCCGGAAGCCGTTCGACTTCTCCAGCCCGTACCCGTTCCTGCTGGTGAACATCGGCAGCGGGGTCTCCATGCTGGTGGTGAATGCCCCGGATGATTACTACCGCGTCAGTGGAACCAGGTACTTTTTTTTTAACATATATTTTTTTTTTAAACTTTAATGCACAAATACAATGTATAAATGTACATATGGCGAACTTAACACCTAACCTTATATACAAATAATAATATATATAGTATACCTGATATTATTTAATGTATGACATTATATAATATCAGGTATACTATATATATTATTATTTGTATATATTTATTTGCATTTCATATATATTATATGTAGGAATGAGGATTCGCGAATAACAGGATGATTATTTTATAGAACTCCTTTTATTTAAATTACAAAAAAAAAACTTTACTATGATACATGAAACGACCTAACTATATGGCAGTCTACGAGGAAGAGAGCGATGCCCATCCTCTTTTTCCATTCATTCCTTTCTCCATCCATTCACTCTTTCGTTTCTATCCATTTGCTCCTCTGTTTCCATTCATTCATACTCATTCGTTCCCATTCGTTCATACCGCCAAGTTTCAAATCCTACATATATAATATTTATTAGTAACTTTGTGTTTGTTTTTTGACATAACTGCCCCACAACGCTTTCTGTATACCTAAAGGTTAGCTGGTGGAGAATGCCATGGCATTAAGCTCGCCTTTGTACAAGTTTTTTGTGCATTAAAGAATAAATAAGGGCGTTCACTACTCAACCATAAGGCAAACAGAAGTTAGTAAGCGGCGCGTTATAGTTTATAAACATTTACGTAGTAACTTTAAAATAATATATATTATTAGACATACATATTTACATACGACATATATATAATATAGAGCGGAAGGGGAAGACCAAGACACAGCTATATCAACTGATAGAGAACCGATACGATATTAAAACCTTCAAGGAAAGAGCTTATTCCTTTTTAATAGGACGACAACGTACTTGCAATTCCCCTGGTGTTGCGGGTGCACTTGGGCGGAGGTAATCACTTACTATCAGGTGAGCCGCAAGCTCGTTTGTCTCCTCTGTTATACAAAAAAATCATGCGCATTATATTCTGTTATAAGTTTGATGCGGTCATTGTCTATACTCTATACATATAAATGAAATTGGAGTGTCTGTTTGTAATATTGAAATAACCGTTTTTTACTACATGCATAAGTATATAAATACGGGACATACACCAACATAACTTTTTTTTGTCTGTCTGTCTGTTTGTTCCGGCTAATCTCTGAAATGGCTGGACCGATTTTGACGCGACTTTTTTTGACAGGTAGCTGATGTAATGAGGAGTAACTTAGGCTACTTTTATTTTAGAAAGGTAAAGTTAAATTCCACGCGAACGAAGTCGCGGGTTCAGCTAGTTTAATACTATGTAAAAATGATGAACTCCTCAGTTTGGGTGGCGGCACCTTCCTGGGTCTGTGCTGCCTGCTGACCGGCTGCAGCAGCTTCGAGGAGGCCATCTCCCTCGCGGCCTCCGGGGACAACACCACCGTCGACAAGCTGGTCCGGGACATATACGGCGGGGACTACGCGAGGTTCGGGCTGCCCGGGGATCTGGTCGCTAGCAGGTAACGGGAACGGACGGTTGACTCGCTCAATGACGGACTGACTGTCCACCTGACATGACTGAATAACAAAATACAGAGCGCACTGACGTGTAGCGGACTGACAGGTTGAGTGTTAGGTGGATTAAACGGCTCACTGACTCGTAATGGACTAGCAGGTTGATTGATGGGTGAAATAGACGATTAACGGACTGTTGACTCGCTGAATGACAGACTGACAGGTGCACTGATGACTGAATGACACGGATTAAAGACTTGAAGCTGACTGGATCGATTTTGACAGGACTTTTTTTAGCAGGTAGCTTACTGGTTTCGAAATTGATCCTTATTATATTGGTACAAGGTTTCTTTTGACTTTGAATTTGTCTCACCGACTACTTCCTGACAGATATTTGTACACCAATAAACTCTAATGTTTTAAATTACTGGCTTTGAAATTGAACCTTATTATATTGGCACAAGATTTCTTTTGACTTTTGACTTTGATATTGCCACACCGACTACTTCTTGACAGAAATGTATACACCGATAAACTCCCATACAACAGGACACTATCGGTAATGTTTTAATATACTGGTTTCGATATTGGGCCTTATTGTATTGGCATAAGGTTTCTTTTTTGTTTTCTTTAACCAGGTGATGGAATAATAATGTAATTATATTTTAAGACAATTTTCACAGCGATATCTAATCCCAGGTTTAGCAGAGTCTGTGTTATGGGTACTAGACTACTGATAGATATATTAACTACTTTTTTTTTTTTTAATTCATACAAAATATAGATGAGTATGTGCGCCACATACCCTTTCCTTATTTTTACTTTCTCTGTCCACCCAAAGGTAGTCTGGAAGAGATTGCTTTCGATAAGACCGCTTTTTGTATCAGTTAATGTATATTTACTTTTTTTTTTATTTTGTTCAATAACAAAATAAAAAAAAAAGCACCAATGTGCAATAAAGTAGTATAAATAAACAAATAAAAATATATACATAGAATTAATGGATGATACTGGTATTCTGCACCCGTTTGTCGTACCGGTAAAATTACGCGACAATGGAGGGTGACAAAATGAGTATGAAGTCTATTCAGTCAGCCGATTGTGGCGAATTCACTCGGATTCCAATTACATAAAAAAATGGCGATCAAGTTATTGTTAGAAAGTTTTTTTTTTTTCTCTTTGGCAAGAGGCTAAGTTAGAAAGTTATATTTATTTGTATTTTAATGTATTTTTTTTTTAATATTATTATCATATTTGGAGTCTAGCCATGCACACGAGTTTCACCAGCGTTTAATTTATAACCTATGTGTTATATATCTAATATATAAAAATCTCGTATCGCGGTGTCAGTTACCAAGTCCTAAAACTTTTCTTTTGCCATATAGAAAATATGGCAAAAGAATTATGGCAGAAGAATTTTAATGTCTTTGACCCTTCTATCATCAACCCCTATTTTTATTTTAATTTATATGGCAGAACAACGTTTGTGGGGTCAGCTAGTGAGCTATATTATTGTAAAGTTTCATTAAAATCCATTCAGTAGTGTTTGTGTGAGAGTAACAAACATCCATCCATACTTACAATCTTCGCGTTTATAATAATAATAATCTCAGGACAATTCACACAGCGCCATCTAGACCCAAATTAAGCTAACTAAAGCTTGTTTTATGGGTACTAGACAACTGATACAAATACATAGATATTTTTTTTTCGTAAATACATACATATTATACATAGAAAATACCCAGACCGATACAAACAATCATACTCATCAATACAAATGTTTGTGCCGTGCGAGGAATCGAACCCGCGACCATCGGACGTAAAGCGGTGTGCTAGACCGCTAGACCACCGAGGCCGTCAACGTTATATATTAATAAGACAATTGTAATTTGCACTGTTCAGTTTCGGGCACATGTGCTCAGCTGATCGGAGAGCCAAGGTGTCCAGGGAGGACCTGGCTCGGGCGACTCTTGTGACCATCACCAACAACATCGGTTCCATCGCCAGACTGTGTGCCTGCAATGAGAATATCGAAAGGGTGAGTACAGTGTACTTAAGGGTGTAATCTATAGGAGTGTCTGTTTGTAATATTGAAATAATCGTTTTTTTAACATGCATATGCTTTAAATACGGTAAATACACCAAAATAATATTTTTACAATTTTTTGTCTGTCTGTCTGTTTGTTCCGGCTAATGTCTGAAATGGCTGGACCGATTTTGACGGAATTTTTTCAGTAGCTGATAAGGAGTCACTTGGCTACTTTTAATTTTTTCAAGTAGCTGATGTAATAAGGAGTCACTTGGCTACTTTTATTTTAGAAAAATAAAGGTAAATTCCATGCGGACGAAATCAGGGGTACAGCTAGTTGTATTTAAAATTCTCGTGTCACAATGTTAGTTACCATACACCTCCGAAATGGCTTGGACGATTTTTATGAAATTTTATATTCATATATAATAGGTCTGAGAATCTGCTACTATCTATTTTTTATACCCCTAAGTGATAAGGGTTCTCATTTTCCCTCACTTTGACCTAACATTTTTTATAGTATGGCTTTAAAAAATACATACAACCCTAAATTTTCCCTTTTTGTAGGTGGTCGCGGGTTCGATTCCTCGCACGATACAAACATTTGTATTATAAGATTTTTGTATCGGTCTGGGTGTTGTCTTAAATATGTATTCAAGTATTTCTATCAGTTGTCTAGTATCATTAACAAGCTCTACTTAGCTTGGAACTAGATGGCGCTGTGTGAATTGTCCACGGTTTTTTAACATGAAAAGAACATGTTTTTTAAACGACCTCCATCATGATGCAGGTGGTGTTTTGTGGTAACTTCCTGCGTGTGAACCCGCTATCCATGAAGCTGCTCTCGTATGCTATGTCCTACTGGTCCCGGGGCGCGCTGAAGGCACTCTTCTTGGAGCATGAGGGGTGAGTGGCATAGGAATTACTTTTGCTAGCTGACTCAGCAAGATCTTGTTCTCTTGATATTGTTTTATAGCTTGTTGGTCAGTCATACATAAAATAAACATGTAAAAATTGCTATGTACATGGAAACCACAAAAATGTGTTTTTCTGTTGTAAATACAACGACCCTAATGAAAACACTAGTACAAGGTACGTACGTAAATTTTGAAAATATATTGTGGAAACTTTGTATAAAGTTTTGAAACTCGACCTCGGTGGTCTAGCGGTCTAGCACACCGCATTTTAGGTAATATTTAATATAGGTGGTAATATTATTTGAAAATTTGACATTTACACTGTGTATCTCGTAGACTAATTTAGTCTATTAAAGAACAGACTATAGTTAAAATTTAGATCTCTGCAGATTCTGCTAAACAGAAGAGGAAACGCCACTACACATCCTATGTGGTTGTAGCCCACTCATGAATAAACGTAAAATCTCCTTTGGAAAGTATACACTATATCCTGAGGAGATAAAAACCATCGCTCCTAAGAATATCCTTCAATTGTTGTCCCTGACGGGTCTAAGTAGCGAACTTTGAAAAAGGGCGAGCAATAGATCTATGTAGGTCGCAGTGCTACAGGTTTTAACACCAGACAATAACGTAGGGCAAAATATGTCGCGCTGGGGAAAAAAGTGATTGTTAGTAATAATAGACTCCTGACCTCATTACTAGCAATGTACCATGTCAGGTTGACCTCCACGCGGTTCCCCCTGGAAACCATCGTGATAAATTCCTGGTGAATTTGTCACGATGGGCTAACTGACCTGACCTCACACTCATCTTATTATCTTCTACTGGTGCCCCGCCAGCGTAAACCGCAGGCTGATGTACCATTACATTATCATCAATAAAAAAAACCTGAATATATCCCAAAACATTTAATAAAAAAAAATATAAGTTTTTATTTTTTTTTACAGTTACTTCGGCGCAGTGGGATGCCTCCTGAATCTGGATATGAAGCGACAGAAGAAACAAAACGCCGCGAGGAATTCCAGCGGATCCGATGAGCAGAGATGAGTCACTCATTGTAACGGTCTGAGTCATCCCAACAGGGATGCTGTATGTAGGAGATAGTGCGTTATATAGGTATACTATGACGGTCAACGGTGGGTAACAGAACTGTTGAGGTCATTTAAACAAACTACGTTTTATAAGAACTAGCTCTGCCCGCGTTTAATTTATAACCTACCAGCTTTTACGTGCTTCGCTCGCATTGAATCCATAAGTATCGGAGTAACTTCAGTACTGTCCGCTAGATGGCGCTGATTTATAACTTCATTACTGGCTACTAGATGGCGCTGAAGTAACAAAATGTTTTCTTAAATCTTATGTTCATTCTAATACCTTCAAGATCATGTGTATAAAATTGATTGATTGATGATCGGTTCAGTAGTTATTAAACATACTTTCACATTTATAATGTTAGCAAGGATGTGTTATTTTAATATATTATTGTAAAGTATCATTACAATCCGTTCAGTAGTTTTGGCGTGCAACAGTTACAGAAATACATCCACACTCGCTAACATTCACTTTTATAATATCAGTAAGATTGGCAGCACCCTTATGGCAATTGAAGCAATATGGAATTTATGTAACAGCCTGTATATTAATGTTGTTAATTTGATATAAAATTTTGTTTTGTTTTAATTTAGAGGTTATATATCAGGTGAAATACTTTTTTTATGTTATTCTACGATAGTGGCAATCAAGCAAACAAAATATCAAAAATCGCTTGTCTGAACAACTAAACCCATACAAGAACGTCGCGAAAAATGAAATAAGTAAATATGTACATGTACATAGATTTATACGAAAATGTTGTTTTTTTAATTCGCATTTCATATAGGCACGCAAAGGTAGTCTAGATCATACAGCCAATTCGTCAGTGGATTTTAAATTTTCTAAGTATGCTAAAAGATAATGACCTAGTCTGGGTTCACCGGTGACCGACATAGTCATAATTTGCAACCGTTCTGTTAAATATTGGTCACAGTTCCTTGCCTTCACACGCTTAAAGGTACAGCAATTATAGTAGATTTTTATAACGGAATAAAAATTATAAAGTATATAAATACTTAGGTTTTTAAATTATGGCGGGAATTTGTTTAAATAAATAAATTGATTCGTGGTATTATTTAAAAATCGAATGTCATAGATTTTTATGTTATGTCGCTAATATATTTATAGTAAATATATTTGCGCTATAATTTAAAAATCGAACGTCTTAGGTTTACACATTATGCCGCGAAGCTTTTCTTTTTTGAGAAATCAATTAGAATATTCGCGGTAGAATTTAAAAATGGAACGATTTAGTTTTTAAATTAAGCCGCAATTTTTTTTTTGAGAATGCTAATATAAAAGTTAAAAAATGTTCTCAAAAAAAGTGCCTATCTCTATAATAGTAATGCAATGGACATTTTGTTTTTTATAATTCGATATTAGACAAAGAATTTTATTATTATTATGTTATATTGATATGATGTAATTGTAGACTGTTTTTTGGACGAATTCCTTATGATAACTGTGGGATTAAAAAATAAAATTGCACAGGCAGGTAATAAAAATGTTGACATTTAAAATTGGAACTTAATCCAAACAAAATTAAGTATATATTTACTATTGAAGAACATTATATTAATATTGGAAAATTCAAATTGAAAAAGATGAGGTAAATAAAAATGCTCATGTTTAAAATTCAATCTTAATGTGCTTTACAATAAGGTTTATATTGTTTAGGCAATTTAATTGAATATACATTTAAATTCGTATCTTATTTAAAAGAATCTTAAGTGCAGTTTATTGTTTGTTCGATTTTGAAACCTGTTTCAATGAGAATAGGGTGCAATTTTATTGTTTTATTCTAAAGGAAGGATTTGTTCTAATGCATTTTAGTGATTATATTATTAGTAATTAGTTATTACCTGTTGGTACGCCTTACAAATAGCGATGTGTGATTCCGAATTATTTTATTATTCGATTTATTTATCGATACTAATATTATAAAGTATAAGAGTTTGTTTGTTTAATCTTAGCAAGTACTGGTCCGATTTGGTTAATACTTTTCATGTTGGATAGTTCATTTATGGAAGAACTTTTTAAGCTATATAACATCACGCTATGACTAATAAGAGTGGAGTGTAAATGAAAAACGCAAGCGAAGTGAAATTTCATCTGAGTCATATAAGGGATCCCGTTTTTGCAGTAATTTTCATTACTGCTCTGCTCCAATTGGTCGTAGCGTGATGTTATATACCATGTAACCTTCCTCGTTAAATGGACTATCAACAGTAAAAGAATTATTAGATTCGGTTTAGTAGTTCGCGATATCAGCGCGTTCAACCAAACAAACAAACTCTTCAGTTTTATATTAGTATAGACTATCTTAAGATTATTAATGATGATATTAGTAAGCTTGAGCATTGGATAATAATGTATTTAAATTAGTAATTTTATATCGAATAATTTGATATTTATTCGAATAATTCGAATGATTTTTGTATTCGAATGAAGGATCATCCATAAATTACGATACGATTATTATATTTACTTATTTTGACCACTCGTCCGTTTCTTGTCGCAGCTCTCTAGTATGACATCGCAAATATAACACTAGTAATATACACTAGTGTGTTAGCAATTTAAACCTAATAGTCATACAGATAAATTTGGAAATATTTTTAAGTTCGACGTTACAATTTCGTAATTTAATATTTAATATTAGACACGAATTTAGGAACCTTTGTCACATAATATCACACTTCAATGAATGACTTGATTTATGGATAACCCCTAAGTCACATTTCAGCGAGTGATTTATGGATGACCCTTAATACAAGTCACATTTCAACGAGTAACTTGTGGATGGTCCTTAATATATGGCATACATTTCAGCGAGTGACTTATGGGTGGCCCTTAATACAAGTCACGCATTTCAACGAGTGACTTATGTATGACCCTTAATATAAATCACACATCGCTACATTAAAATCTTTTCGCGCGTAATTTATAGAATTAATAAAAAAAATGAGGTTATAACTCAAATGTTGGTATGCAAACCACAAAATGGCTGAATATTAGTGATTCCTTTGCGCAAATTATACTTTTAAATTTAGGTTTAGATTTTTTTTGTTTTTATATTGACTTATTTGTGCGTATAACGCAGTCTGCTGTTATAATGTTTTGGGGTTTAATTATGTAATAATGTTATTAATAATTCTTGTTTGAAAAGAATTAAAGTCTGCAATTTTGAGGTTATATACCGTTTGACAGTTGCAGTAGCGATCTTGCAAATCTAAACACTTAAATATAATTAAATAAGTGATTAAACTAAAATATAATAATAATAATAAATTTATACATCATATTTTAATTTCAATTAACTTAAATGAAATATTCATTATATTTGTTTTAATATTTAAAAATTTAATTTCAATCTTTTTAATCTCATGATTAGGATGTTGAATTGGTTTAGAAATTATTTAGATTTCTGCCCTTAATATCCGACTCAACTAATGTATTGCAGACGCGATGTAAAAGAATCCAATTTAGCTAGCGTCCACAACTCTCAAATTGTTCATAGACAATCATCAATTTTTTTTAATATCAACATCGTTACATAATTGGGCTCTTGGTCGGTGAATTTCTTTTTTGTATTTTTTATACTACTCCGATCGGCTGTACAGTTTTACCAATTTTATTTATGGTATTTTTTTGTCATTTTTCGAATGGAATTTTGTTTGAAGAAGGGCATTTTCGTATTGAGATAAATTACCAAAAATATTTACTTGGTAAAATAATATTTTATTTCGTTTATTGTAATCAAAAACAAAATAAATTTTATACTAATCATATTTGTAATATCTTTATTTCTAATTACTGATGTCTTTTATAAGAAAAAGTAATACGCAAATTAAGTAGTTTATTTTTTCTTGTTTATAATAAAACAAAACTAAATTCATTATTATCAATCTCTTTTGAGGTTATTTATTTTATTTTATTTATTTATAAAATAAAAAACCTCATAAAAGGTTATCCATTCCATAAGTAATGTGGAAGAAAGTTATATTTATCTTTTTTTATACTCTTATAGATTAAATATATAAAGTTGGTAATTCTGTACGTATTATAAGCAGCGTGTTAATTTATTGAATTTATGAAATAATGGTTAGGTATTTATTATTCGGTCACATAGTTTTAGCGTTAACTGACTCGAAATAAATCTTTATTACTTTATATGTATGGTTCAAATTGGCTTAAACAAAACGCAGTTCGCTAATTTGAAAGGTTCAAAGTGGAACACAGAGTATTATCTGTACAGAGTGGAAGTTTCTCGGCCAGTGCTTATTGTGAAACGGTTATCCCGTAAATATGGAATGACTATGAACACGTCAACAATATCATAGGTAAAATATATTATTACGGCGCGGTGTAGACTTTAGTTTGAGGGCACTGCTCAGGGTTTACAACTCTGCTGTGGTCATCTTTCAGTCACCACTGGGTTTGTCATTATTGTTTTTGTATGACTAGTACTACATAATAGATGGAGCTAGTGCTGAAGTTTGCACTCTGTATATTTTATACTCTGTGGTTTAAGGGTCTGCAGAGAGGCAGTGGTAACTATTTTAATATAAATTAGCTATGCTAAATTTTATAGAAATACTAGAGATACGCTCAGGCTTTGCACAGGTACAATTATTGTATATATTTCAGTATATAGTTTGCTTTGTAAGATGTGTATAGGTTGAAGGGTGAGACACATGAGAAGTGAAGTTACATACTATGAAGGGCACCACAGATATACTATGTCGTTGAGATATATGGTTACTTTCACGTATGTAGTGCCGCTTCCCACACGCCACCAAGCCTCCGGTTTGTTTGTTTTTGTTATATATGCACTCATATGCTTTCAACATCTACAGGGTGATTATGTATATCTATGTATAGCAATTATATAAAAAAATATTATAATTTCTTTAAATAAAAGGTATGTACTGCCCTCTCGTAACGCAACCCTTTAAGTTGAATTCCAATAGCTCAACTTGCCGGATTGTAACTCGAGTATTTTATACGGGGTTGGTTATTTTAGGTAGTCTGTGAGTGTGCGAGTGCCCTTATATACTCTGATAGTGTACAGAGGCCTTTATAAACCTGATCATGACTTATATCCGCATTCGTTATTGTTGTACCGTCACTCCAGTACTTACGAGCTAAACAG